ACAAACGTTCTGCCGAAAACGGTTACACTATCATTCTTCTTTCTGTCCTGGCCTATCTATCTACTCTTTAACCTCTAATCTCACTGCCGCCCTATCACAACTTCTCACTTGTTTACATCCACTCGTCAAAATGTATGCCCTTTTGTGGCAAATCTCATGTGGCCTCATCACATGACAATAAGACCAAGTTGCGAAAACGAGGTCAACTCACTTCTATAAATCGAATGGAGACTGCGACCATACCAGAGGCCACAACATCTTGGTATTCATATATTTAAATTTAATGAACTTTGCCTATTGACTAATCAAACTCGGAGAAGACAGGGATGCAATAAGACAAGCAAAAAGAAGACGCCTGGATTAAGGGTCTATCATAAACCAGCGGAAAATGGATCCTAAGGAAGAAGAGAGTAAGGAAGTTTTGGAAATGAAGCGAAGACGGTCTTAGTGAGTAAGGTCACCTCGAATAAACAACTACAACTTTGGAGGCCCGACGTTTCACGTGATTAAGGGGAGAGATTGGGTCACAGAAATGGTGCGTTTTGACCAAATTGACTAACGATCCACCTGAGGTGCAGCAGACGACCAGAGATAGATGTCCACATTTGCTCAGGTTAGACCGGCTTATTCGGGGAGATGATGCGTTGAGGTAATGCCTAATATCCGCAAGCATGGGAATAAAAGTATAGGCGCTCTGCAGATAAGGCAATTTTGTACTTGCTACTTAAGGCTTGAGAAATACCACTTGGAGTGAAAGTACACGGGCTGGAACCAAGTGAAATCGGTCAACCGGAAAAATAGGAAACGGACCTAAAGGCCCATGAGGCAGATCCGGACAGGAGGCGAGTCGGATCATCCACTCTAAAGGGAGGGGAGCAAGACAAACATTAGGTGCGTAACGGTAAATTCGTCAAAATGGCATATCCCTTGTGGAATATAAACATGCCAGAAATTGCGATAGGACGAGGGCGAGACAAGACGGTGGGAATTGGACCAGGATG